AACTTCACCCTGTACAGCTCTGTCTCCAGCAAGTATCTGTGGACTGTGTCAAGCCCCCAGCCTTGGGGACGCTGTCTAGCTAGATGACAGCATGCCCGGCACCTGCCAGGTACCTGACCACGCACCTGGCCCAGGAGGAAGGTTCTGAGATCTGGGCAGATGAGGCCCAGGCCCGAGAGCTGCAGACAGGGGAGCCGCGAAGAGAAAATGGAAGCTGGGTAAAGGGTGGCGGAGAGGACAGGAAAGCAGCAGCCCCGGGTAACAGGAGCGTTCCCACACCGAAGCTCAGCCCTCTCTGAGCCACACAAGGTGGCAGCAGTGGAAGCGGGGAGGCCAGAGACCGTGTGTCACCCACATGTCCCTGTCGTGACACAAAGTAGGGGCGACAAGGCACACAGACTCTCAGCTTGCTCCTGGGTCCCCGTGAGCAGCACTGTTGAGGGCAGTGGGGCAGGCAGGTGTGGTGGTGAATGTCACACATCCCTGTGCTCAGGGGCTGGCACCCAGCCTGGCCTTGTCAACCGCCGGTCTCCACGCTGCTGTGAGGTATTCTGGAGAAGTGATCATCCCGTGTCTTCTGCCGCTACACTGACTGGAGCGGGCAGCCAACCCGCCACCGTGTGGGTGGGCCTCGCCCGGTCAGTGGAAGACCTTCAGAGACAAAGTGAGAGGTCCTGGAAGAGGGGATTTCTGACTTTGGACTTGAGATTCAACATCAACGTGTGCCAGACTGTCTGGCTGCTGGCTCACCCCGAAGATTCTGGGTCACCATGTGAGCCTGGGCCTTAAGTATCTATCTATCTGTCTTTTTTTTGGTATCAGGAGTCGGACTCAGGACCTTGTGCTTGCTAGGCACTACCTGCCTACCTATCTCTCTATCTCTCTATCCATCCATATCCTGTGAGTTCTGTTTTTCCTGAGAACCCAACATAAGCTTCTTGCTATAGCACTTCTTCTGTTGTTGTTATTGTTGGTTTCGTTTTGTTTTGTTTTTTCTGGTAGAGGGTCTCACTATGCCATTCAGGCTGGCCTTGAGCTCACTTTGTAACCCAGGCTGGCCTGGAGCTCACAGCAGTCCTCCTACCTCAGCCTCCTAAGTGCTGGTATTACAGGCGTGTGCCACCATGCCCAGCTTCTACAGGACTTCTATGCCTTTTGATCCTAATATAGTTGTCCAAGGGAGGCATGGGAAGTGGTGTTTCTCCGACTTGTGCCTGGCCTCTTCCTAGGCCTGTCAACACCTCCTGGGACTTTGTGTACCTTCAGGACCTGCGCCGAGGGCATGGTTGTTGGGCCCTGGGGAGATGAACCCAGAGGTCCCTTTTTTTTTTTTTTTTTTGAGACAGGGTCTCACCATGCAGTTCAGGCTGGCCTTGAGCTCACAGCAATCCTCCTGCCTCAGCCTCCTGAGTGCTGGGATTACAGGCGTGCACCACCACTCCCGGCCCCAGATTTCCCTTCCTGGCCTCAACCTCTGGGTTTATGGGAGGCTGGGGACCCTGGGACGCCTGGACCCTGTACTCTTGCCATGGTCTCCCCACAGGCCTGACAGCTTCAGTGGCCATGGCTACCACCTCTTCCAGGCCATGCGGCTCAGTGTGGAGCAGATAAACAACTCCACAGCACTGCTGCCCAATGTCACCCTGGGGTACGAGCTCTACGACGTGTGCTCCGAGTCGGCCACCGTCTACGCAGTGCTGCGCGCGCTGTCCTGGCAGGGGACGCACCGCGTGGAGATCCAGGAGAACCTGTACCACTACTCCCCCAAGGCCATGGCGGTCATTGGGCCCGACAGCACTGACGAGGCGGCCACCGCCGCCGCCCTGCTGAGTCCCTTCCTGGTGCCCCTGGTAAGCTGGAGCCTCGGATGGGGCGGTGCAGGTGCTGCTGTCCCCTCTGAGGCTGGTCTGTCCCCTGGACCAATGGGAAGACCTTGCTCTAGTCCCCCTCTTCCTCTCTGAGGACGACTTCTGGTCTACCTGTATCCACCCTCCCGGGGACCCCCTGCCTCCCACCCTCCATCCTTCCATAAGCAACCAGTGCCCTTGCCTGCCCCTCCGACCCCGCCTCCTCTCTTCCCGCATGTGTCCCCTTCCTGTGCCTATGGATTTCTCCAGACTGGGTTTCCTAGGGGACCCTCTCATGTGCCCCTCAGCTGGTGGCTCCCAGTTCTGTCCTCACCGTGCTTGCTCCAACTCGTGGAGATTCTCTCGCGTCTCTGGGATTACAGGCATGTGCCCCACCACACTCAGCTTCTTTTTTTTTTTTTTTTCCTGAGATAAGATTTTCCTAACTTGCTCAATTGCCCAGGTTGGGCTCGAATTTTCCATCCTCCTGCCTCGCCTCGCCTCGCCTCTCTCAGAACGCTGGGATGACTGGCCTGCGCCACGGGGCCCAGCTCATTTTGCGGGATTTGGGATCTTTCGATCATCCTATCCCCCTCCTGCCCATCCCCACCGAGCCTTTGCCGTTCGGAAAGCTCCTCCTGTCCTGCAGGGGGCGCTGTGTTCCTGCAGCCCCACCTGGCCACACTCCTCCTCCCTTGTCCCCCACGTGGCCTCTGTTGCCCAAAGTCCCTCTTCCTTCCGGTCAAGCCCGCCCCTCTACCTCTCTCCTCCAGCCCCAGCTTTAATTCGCCCCTCCATGACCCTCCATTCTGCCAGCCCCCCGACCCCGCCCCCACCCCCATCCAGATGACCCACCAGCCTCCCCGAGGGTGCCCCAGCCTTTTCCACCATGTTCCTCAGTAAAGTGAGAGAGGCTCTCCCTAATAGACAGCATGGGCCACTTCTTGGGGAGCAACCCTACTCCCCAGGGCTTACAGGACGAAGGACATCCCTCAGCTTGGCGTTAAGGCCTCCTCCCTGCCCTGCTCAGGCAAAGGCCTAACAGGATCGTGCCTCACTCCCTGTGCTCGGAGTACAGGATCCCGATGTCTGTGAGGTGCAGGGCCCCTTCACCTTGTCCACGAGGCCGATCCCCGCGCCCCACGAGGACCCCCCTCACGGGAGCCTGCGCAGTTCTGGTCTCCTGCGTCAAGGCCAGCTCTTCGGGTCTCTGTGCCCACACGAGGCACAGGCCTAGGCACTGGGGGCCTCCGGCCATGGTTGTTGCTGCTGATCGTACTGAATGGGGCCCCACAGATCAGCTACGAGGCCAGCAGCACGGTGCTGAGCGCGAAGCAGCTGTACCCCTCTTTCCTGCGGACCATCCCCAGCGACAGGTACCAGGTGGAGACCCTGGTGCTGCTGCTGCAGAGCTTCGGGTGGGTCTGGGTCTCCCTGGTTGGCAGCTCTGGATACTATGGGGAACAGGGGGTGCGGGCACTGGAGGACCTGGCCACGAAGCGGGGCATCTGCATCCCCTACAAGGGCATTGTGCCTTTCTCTGCCCGGGTGGGGGACGAGGAGATGCAGGGCATGATGCGTGGCCTGGCAGGGGCCAGGACCACTGTGGTGGTGGTCTTCGCCAGCCGCCAGCCGGCCAGAGTGTTCTTCGGCTCCGTGATGCTGGCCAACCTAACTGGCAAGGTGTGGATCGCCTCGGAAGACTGGGCCATCTCCACATACATCTCCAGAATGGCTGGAATCCGGGGCATTGGGATGGTGCTGGGGCTGGCCATCCAGCAGCGCCTGGTCCCCGGCCTGGAGGAGTTTGAAGAGGCCTATGCCTGGGAAGACAAGGGGGCCCCCAGGCCTTGTCCCAGGGGCTCCTGGTGCAGCACCAATCAGCTCTGCAGAGAGTGCCAAGCCTTCACAGCACAGACGATGCCCTCGCTCGGGGCCTTCTCCATGAGCTCGGCCTACAACGTGTACCGAGCTGTGTATGCTGTGGCCCATGGCCTTCATCAGCTCCTGGGCTGTGCCTCTGGCTCCTGCTCCAAGGGCCAAGTCTACCCCTGGCAGGTAAGAGAGTTCCAGATCCCTGAATCGAGGAGAACAGCCAATCCTGAGACACACAGGGTGGGTACTCCAGGATACCTGTTAGGGCCACTGGCTTGAGAGTTGGTCTTCCCTTAGATAACCCTTCTCCCAAACCTTGATTCACTCACCCACAATGCCCCAGAAATCAGAAGGGCTTAAAAAAAAAATAGTTTTCTCCAAAAAGGTCCGTTTTGGAGACAGTTTGTAGACAGTTGTGGTGGGACACACCTGTAATCCTAGCACTTGGGAGGCTGAGGCAGGAGGATGACTATAAGTTCAAGGCCAGCCTGAGCACATAGTGAGTTCAAGAGTAGCCAGAAGTACATAACCAGATCTTGTCTCAAAAAACAAAACAACAAGATGTCCTTTGCCGGAGGCCTTTTCTAAGGAGGCTGGTCAAGCAGGCCAGAAGCTTCTGAGGGAGGGGAGGGAGCTCTGAGCAAGGGCACCCTCTTTCTGGAATGTCCAGTCTGTGTGGCCTGTGGTGGCCTCAGATGTTTGTTTCAGCTTCTGGAGCAGATCTACAAGGTGAATTTTCTTCTACACGAGGACACCGTGGCTTTCGACAAGAACGGGGACCCCCTCAGTAACTATGACATCATCGTGTGGGACTGGAGCGGGCCCACATGGAGCTTCAGGGTCGTCGGCTCCTCCACGTGGCCTCCTGTTCGGCTGGACGTGAACAAGACCAGTATTCAGTGGCATGAAAAGGACAGTCAGGTAATGGAGACGTGGCCACTCACCACATGGCTGCCGTAAGACAGGAGTTTGGGAATGATGCTTACCCAGGGTGGGAGGAGGACCCAGGAGCTGTCCCTTGACCTGGGTCCCTCTGTGTGGTGGCAGAACACCCGTGGCTTCCTACAGGTGCCCACCTCTGTGTGTACCGGAGACTGTGCCCGAGGGCACCATCGAGTGGTTGTGGGTTTCTACCACTGTTGTTTCGAGTGTGTTCCCTGTGAGGCCGGGACCTTCCTCAACAAGAGTGGTGAGTGAACGAGCGGCCGGCACTCTGTGTGTGCACAGCAGGTGCAGGGCCTCGCTCAGACCCCATGGGTGGACACCCAGCCCCAGAACCAGGGCCCACGTCACCGGGCTGCCAGTGAGGTACAGGCTGGAGGACACCCGTGTCCAGGCTGAATTCCAGTCAAGTAGGGGAGACAACAGAATGAAAGCCATAGGCCAAGATGTGTCCTGTACTAGAGAGACTGGTCTTGTCGTAAGCTCCTGCAGGTGTGTCTCACCCTGAATTCAAGCTCCTCTCCAGGCATTGTTCCCTTGTTAGTCCCCCACTCCTCTCTATAAAGCTGCTTCTATTACCTGTGCCAGAGACAGCCAGCGCCTTAGTGGCTTGGCCAGTAGCATATGTGCAGCAGAGATTGTCCAGCGTGTCCCACACCCAGTGACACAAGGTAGAGACCAGACAGGAAATCAGGTAGCTAGAGCTGGATTCCAGGCGCCACCGAGGACAGGATGGAAATGACCTTCCTTAGGGCTGGCTGGTCACTGGGATGTAGACAGAGATGCCCTGCAAAGCCCGGTTTGCAAACTGCTTTTGGGATCATGAGCTACGTAGAGCCTCCCTGGGCGTCCCAGCGTCTGTAATTAACACAGGCAGTGCAGGAAACCCCTGGCTTCAGGCTCCGTTGCTCTCACTGTGCCCCGCAGGTCAAGGTGCTTGGTACAACTCCTCCAGCATCGGGAGGCGTGCACAGCCTTGCTGCCCCAGCACAACTCTGCCCCCCTGGTTCTCAGGAACCTTCTCTGCTATGCTTTTCAGACCTCTACCGCTGCCAGCCTTGTGGGAGAGAAGAGTGGTCACCTGAGGCCAGCCACACCTGCTTCCCTCGAACAGTGGTGGTTTTGACTTGGCATGAGCCCATCTCTTGGGTGCTGTTGGCAGCTAATACACTGTTGCTGCTGCTGCTGCTAGGCACCGCCGGTCTGTTTGCCTGGCACCTAGACACCCCTGTGGTGAGGTCGGCTGGGGGTCGGCTGTGCTTCCTCATGCTGGGGTCCCTGGCACTGGGCAGCTGCAGCCTCTATGGCTTCTTCGGGGAGCCCACGCTACCTGCGTGCCTGCTGCGCCAAGCCCTCTTTTCGCTCAGTTTTGCCATCTTCCTGTCCTGCCTGACGATTCGCTCCTTCCAACTGATCATCATCTTCAAGTTTGCCACCAAGATGCCCACATCCTACTATGCCTGGGTCCGGAACCACGGGGCTGGCCTTTCTGTGATGTTCAGCTCAATTGCTCAGCTGCTCATCTGTCTCACCTGGCTTTCGGTGTGGACCCCACTGCCCACCAGGGAATACCAGCGCTTCCCCCAGCTGGTGGTGCTTGAGTGCACCGAGGCCAATTCGCCCGGCTTCCTGCTGGCTTTCGCCTACAATGGGCTCCTCTCCGTCAGCGCCTTTGCCTGCAGCTACCTGGGCAAGGACCTGCCAGAGAACTACAACGAGGCCAAGTGTGTCACCTTCAGCCTGCTCCTCAACTTCGTATCCTGGATCACCTTTTTCACCATGAGTAGCATCTCGCACGGCCGGAACCTCTCTGTGATCAATGTGCTGGCCGTGCTGACCAGCCTGAGCGGCGGCTTCAGCGGCTATTTTCTCCCTAAGTGCTATGTGATCCTCTGCCGCCCAGACCTCAACAACACGGAGCACTTCCAGGCCTCCATCCAAGATTACACGAGGCGCTGCGGCTCCACCTGAGCTGAGGGACAAGCGGGGCCCACGGGACAGGGCGGGCTGTAAGCCTCCTCTTCAGGGTGGGTTGCAGGTCCAGCCGGCGGGGGGCCTGAGGGATCGTCAGTCTTGCCTGGCGATGTGTAAACGCTCGGGAAAGCCCAGCCCAGGCTCCGGGCTGCCAATAAAGAGGTGAAAAGTGCGCTTGCGTCTTAGCTTTGGGCAAAGTGTGAGCTTTCACTTCTAGTCTAAACTCCAGAGTGCAGACTGCCAGGAGCCTGGTGGCGTTGCTAGGCAACTCCGGAACGCGGGCCCAGCGGGGCAGAGGCGGACCCGGCCCGCCTGTTTTAATCCCATTGGCTAGCCTCTTTGGTCCCGCCTCCAGGGGCGGTAGTATGAGGCCCGCGCTTCAGAGGCGCTGTGCGCCGGCCGGCGCGCTCTGACGTCACGTCCGGCGCGGCGACGGCAGCGTCTCCGCACAGTGGGCCGGGCACGTCGTGCCGGGGTAGTTTGGTCGGTAGGTTGTGGCAGCGACCCAGCGGTGGCCCGTGCAGCAGGCCCAGGGAATACTGGCTTTGGTGAGGAGGGAAGCGGGCGCAGGAGTGGAGCTGCGGGCTGCGGAGGCGGCTTACGGTAGCGTGGTCCGGGTCGCCTTCCGCCGGCAGCTCGCGACCTGCGAGTGCGGCGTGGGCTCCGCTCACCTGTGCGTGGCCGCCGCCCTCCTGGATCGGGGTCCCCGGGCTGCGCGCAGCGGGTCGTCTCGCATCTATCCCTCGCCTCCTTTCGCCAACTTTGATATTTCCCACCAGCACCCACTCCTTCAAGATCCTGTCCTGACCCTGCCATCCCTCCTGTCCCGCACCCTTCTGCCTGGCCAGTCCTCTGTGCCCGCTCCTCACCTTGGCCCAAGCCCTCGTTCTGATTAGCGTGCTTCGGGAGCGTCTCACCTCATCTTTCTCGCTGCTGGAGTCCAGGAGCTTCCTCTTGCTTTCTTGGTTGGGCTGCCCAGGGTGTCACTTCTGCCTTCCCCTTCTCCAGGCGATGGACGGCTCCTTCGTTCAGCACAGCGTGAGGGTTCTGCAGGAGCTCAACAAGCAGCGGGAGAAGGGCCAGTACTGCGACGCCACCCTGGACGTGGGGGGCCTGGTGTTCAAGGCACACTGGAGTGTCCTTGCCTGCTGCAGCCACTTCTTCCAGAGCCTCTATGGGGATGGGTCAGGGGGCAGTGTTGTCCTCCCTGCCGGTTTTGCGGAGATCTTTGGCCTCCTTCTGGACTTTTTCTACACTGGTCACCTTGCCCTCACCACAGGCAACCGGGATCAGGTGCTCCTGGCAGCCAGGGAGCTGCGAGTGCCAGAGGCCGTGGAGCTGTGCCAGAGCTTCCAGCCCAAAACCTCAGTGGGACAGGCATCGAGTGCCCAGAGTGGGCTGGGGAAACCTGCCCCTCGGGACATGGACAGCCACCTCAAGGAGCCAACAGACTTGGAGGAAGAGGAAAGTTCCAGGACTCCGGGCCTGATTTCCAGGCATCAGGAGCCCAGAGAGAGTCACAGCTCCCAGAGGCGCCAGCTAAGTCCCCCTGCTCAGACTGAGAGCCCCACCTTCCTCCGGGGGAAACTCAAGCAGTCTGTGAAGCCTTGTCCCCCAGAGGACAAGGAGCCTGAGGACTGCAAAACGCCCCCAAGGCCCTTTGAGGCTGAAGGTGCCCAGCTGCAGGGCGGGAGTAACGAGGTACTGTGCCTAGGATGCTGAAACTGTGGTGGCAAGACTTGGGGGGAGAGGTGAACGCTTTTCTGGGGTGATCTGGACCCCGAGTAAGTCTCTGTTAGTGAAACAGAGTTTCTCCAAACCTACAAAGCCAGTGGCCTCAGCTGATCTGTCTGTGACCACAGCCATCTGTGGTTGCCAGCTTCCTTAGGGGTACAGTGGGCAGTATCAGGGTTGCAGGTGTTTCCCTAGGGGGGTGGTCTGGCCAGGCTTCCTGTTCCTCGTAAAGGTAGGCACTTTCCCCCAAGCCCAAGGTTCAGATGTTGTCTGTCCTGGGGCCCAGGAGTGACCAGTCCCTGATGAACGGGCTCGCCTGTGTCGGGGCTTGGGGTGGAACTAAAGCCGGGTCCCCATTGTCCCTGCTGATTAATTTGGTGACACCCCCTGACTTCCTGCTGTCTGCTCTGTTACAGTGGGAAGTGGTGGTTCAAGTGGAGGACGACGGGGATGGCGATTACGTTTCTCAGCACGAGAGTGTGCTGACCAGGAGGAAGTCAAACGCAATCAGAAAGCCCTGTGCTGCCGAGCCCACCCTGGGTTCAGGTTCCCTAGCAGTTGAGACCGCTGAGAACAGAAAAGGGACAGCAGTGCCTGTTGAATGCCCCACATGTCATAAAAAGTTCCTCAGCAAATATTATCTCAAAGTCCACAACAGGTAAGCACTCTTGTCTTTCTGTTTTCTTTCTCCATGTGCCATTCCTGGTGGGAGGAGGAGTCCTATACTCTATACTTGAGCGCTGTAGGGGCCGGGTCTCTTGTCTCAGATCGGCATCCTGCCAGACCTTACACGCTTGTGACATGGAGTGAGTGCCTCGCGTTGGTCAGGTTCTCCCCCTCCTCCTCTGAGCCTTTGGGTTGGGCATGGGTGTGTGGACAACTTGCCAATGGTTCCAACCACCGTGGACTTTGGCCCCTGGCTGGCTTCTGCCAGAGGGATGAGAGGAGCCTATGGGCTCCTGAGCTGGAGCTGAGGCCTGACCTTAGGCGTTTCGAAAGCCTGCCAGTGAGGGCTTTGGGCCAAGGCGCTGCTCTTTAGTACTGTGGCTACCTGTGTTTCTGGGGCTATCTGTGTTAGCTCTGGGGTGCTAATGGAGCATCACAGACCATGTGTTGGGGCTGAGGATGTCCTCTAGTGGGGAAGCGCTTGCCAAGCATGTGCAAGCCCCAGGTGTCGTCCTAGCACTGCCAATAAAGTCGGGTATGAGTCCAGCGTGGCTAGTGAGGCTTAACTGACCATAAAAGAGCTCTTTTTAAAGCTGAAGTATCCAGTAAGGCAATAGGATCCCTGTGTGGCTAGTTTAATTTAAAATCAAGTGAAATGAAGCTAGGCGTGGTGGCACATGCCCATAATCTCAATGCTCTGGGTCATGCAAGAGTTCAAGTCCAACCTGGGCAGCTTAGGGACTTGCTGAAACCCTGTCTCAAAATAAAAACTAAGAGACCACCTGGGGAATGTCAGTCAGTGTGAAGGCCCTGCATTCATCCTGAACTGCAAAATAAGTAAATTGTTAAATAAACTAAATTCAGTTCAGTTCATCAGCTGCACAGGCCGTGTCTGCTGTGCTTACCAGCCATGTGGCTACCAGCTGCTGAGCTGGACAGTGCAGACAGAGCGTTTGCAGCATCGTGGAGGATTCCCTGGATGGTAGCGCGCCTTCTCTCCTGCTGTTACCAGCCCAGGACATCACTAGATCATCACAGGCACTTTCTTACCAAGCCAGGCAGTACCATATACCTGTTCTCGGTGTGATGCTCTGGGAAGCTTCAAGTGCTTGCCTGGAGTTGGACATGAGTGTGAGACCTGTGTCACCACACCCATGCTTGGCCCTGGGGCCGCTGTTGTCTGTGAAGTCTTGGGCCGTCCCAGTGTGTGGGAACCTGGGGCTGTCCAAGTTCTGCCCAGCGCTCCACGCACTTGCCCAGCACAGCACTCTCCATCCGTCCCTGCCTGGCCCTGAGAACTGGGAGGGGATGTTGGCCTCGTGCGTCACTGTAATGGGGGCAGTGCTGGTCGATGTAGTGACAGAGGGTGAGAGAAGTGCTTGGCCCCTGGCAGGCTGTGTGCGCTTTCCCAGTGTGTCACAGGGGCTCGGAGGTCAGGGTCCATTTAGTTGATTCCCTCAGCGCGTTGCCCAATGGCCGACAGACTCTTGGGGCAGAGAGCCCTGTGCAGCTCACCTTCTGACATGAGATGAAAATGTAAAGTCCTAGCGAGCAGAGTGCAGTGCGATAGGGAAGTGGACTGGAGAGAAGACAGTGGCGCCCAGGAGCCGGGGAGTTCACGCGGGGTCAGGCTATGGCTTTAAATAACCGCGCCTGGGGGCTCCCCTGGGGAAGAGGTTTGAACAGGAGCTTAAAGGAAGGGAGAATCATCCACACAAGGAAGTGTTCCAGCAGGCACAAGAGCAGAGCGAGGGCCCTGGGCTAGGAGTGAGGGCCAAGAGGTCCCCTTAGTGCTGATGGCTCCCGTGGACCTAGGCACTGCTGTCGCTGCACTCCGTGCTGGTGAGGTGAGGTGGCCCTGGTCCGGCCCCGGAGAGGCCGTTTCTCCAGGTGGCCACAACCCAGGGGTCGGCTCTGCCTGTAGAGAGACGTGCCAGCCGTGTGTCCCTTGCCAGCCTCTGCCAGTCAGGGCTGAGGTGCCCCCTGGGAAGGCTAGCAGAACCTCTGGCATGTTGCTGTCGGGTGCGAGGTCCATGCTGGAGGGGCTTCCTGGCCTGTCCCTGCATGTTCCCAGCGGAGGTCTCACTGAGCCCCTCAGCTTTGGGAGCCACAGGGTGCCCTGGATGAGGGAGAGCCGGAGACCCTCTGCCCCCACACCCCTGTGGCTTCTCCCCCTGGCAGGAAGCACACTGGGGAGAAACCCTTTGAATGTCCCAAGTGTGGGAAGTGTTACTTCCGGAAGGAGAACCTCCTGGAGCACGAAGCCCGGAATTGCATGAACCGCTCGGAACAGGTACTTGGGAGCTGGCCCAGGTACTTGTGGATGTGGATGGGGCACAGGCCTGTGTCTTCTGGCCGTCTGGGAGGGGCCTCAGGAGGCGTCTCTGACGGGGGACTGTAAACAAAGAGCAGCAGGGTCCTGGGATGTCACGGAGTCTGTGCCTTGGTACAGGAGGACGTAGGTCCTGAGAGCAGAAGGGACGAGCCCAGAGGGACACTGGGAGGCATTTAGGGCTTGCTTGGCCCAGCCCTACCTTGGGCATTGAGGGCTGCTGGGGAGAGCCTTCTGGGCATCTCGCTGCGTGACTGCTGCTCCTTGTGGGTGGGGTGCGGCTATCCCTGCCATCTCCCCAGAGTTCTGTTGGTGGCGGCTGGGGCCAGGGACTGTGGGGGCCCAGGGCCTGAGAAGGGCCTGGCATGTGGTCATGTGCAGCGCTCAGTGGGGTCAGGACAGGCGGGTTACATGTCACCCTCTCCTACCCTAGCGCCCCCCACCCCAGGCAGACTTCCCAGCAGCAAGTGGAAACCCCGGCAGAGGCTGCTGCAGCAGGCAGAAGCCCCCGCTGATGCCGGCCCTGCCTGCCCCTCGCACTGCCAGGTCTTCACGTGCTCCGTGTGCCAGGAGACCTTCCGCCGGAGGACGGAGCTGCGGGTGCACATGGTGTCCCACACAGGGGAGATGCCCTACAAGGTCAGGCTCAGAGGCTGCCAGGGCTGTGGGCTGGTGGGGGCCCCGGGCACCTATCCCGTGATAGCCATCGAGCCTCCCCCCTCCCATCCCCCGCATCTGTGCGCAGGGCCACGGGCCAGAGCCTCGCCTCTGGGCCTCTTCCGGGCAAGCTCAGCACCCCTCTGGCGGACCACATGGGTCCTCCTGGGTCTCAGGCCGGTCCTGCCCTTCACACCGCCAGGCTGCCTGGAAATGACCCGGGACGTGTTTTGCAGTGTTCCTCCTGCTCCCAGCAGTTCATGCAGAAGAAGGACTTGCAGAGCCACATGATCAAGCTGCATGGAGCCCCCAAGCCCCATGCGGTAAGTCTCAGAAGGGCTGGGGCTGGGGCTGGTGGGAGCGAGACGCCCAGGGTGGACAGAGGCCCTGTGGTTTCTGCCCACGGGGGCAGAAAGGGCCTGTGGAGCTCCTGGGCAGACCCACTCTACCCTCACCTGGCCCTAGTCCCTCTGCTGCTCCACCCGCCCCACAGTGCCCCACCTGCGCCAAGTGCTTCCTGTCCCGGACGGAGCTGCAGCTGCACGAGGCCTTCAAGCACCGTGGGGAGAAGCTGTTTGTGTGCGAGGAGTGTGGGCACCGGGCCTCGAGCCGCAACGGGCTGCAGATGCACATCAAGGCCAAGCACAGGTGTGCCAGGGTCGGCTGGAGAGCAGCGTCCGCCTGCATGCACAAGATGCTTTCACAGGAGCCTGCTGGGCAGAGCGCCCAGGAAACGTGGCTCTACCTCCTGAGGAGGGGCACATTCTTGCTAGCCATGCTGTCCTGCTCTAGAGTGGCAGGGATACCTCCTACCTGGCGCCACCCAGGCCCTCCTGCTCTGTGTGCCCCCACCTATAGCAGAATGCAGGGGGCCGCTTCCTTCCATGACGGCCTCTGCCACATGTCCCCACCCCAACAGGAACGAGCGGCCATATGTCTGTGAGTTCTGCAGTCACGCCTTCACCCAGAAGGCCAACCTCAACATGCACCTGCGCACACACACGGGGGAGAAGCCCTTCCAGTGCCATCTCTGCGGCAAGACCTTCCGCACCCAAGGTGAGGCTGAGGCCAGCCCGGCCCCTCCCCGCCCCAGGGACGGGGCCAGCACTGAGCGTGAGCCCTGCCCTGTACCCACAGCCAGCCTGGACAAGCACAACCGCACACACACGGGTGAGCGGCCCTTCAGCTGCGAGTTCTGCGAGCAGCGCTTCACGGAGAAGGGGCCCCTCCTGAGGCATGTGGCCAGCCGCCACCAGGAGGGCCGGCCCCACTTCTGCCAGATCTGTGGCAAGACCTTCAAAGGTACCCGAGGGCTGGCGGGGCACGGAGGCAGGGCCTCTCCACGTCCCCTTGGCCAGGCCTGAGTTGGAGGTCTGCACAGGGAGGGCGGGGCCCCACTGACTAGCAGAACGCCTCCCCTCAGATCTCTTCTGCGTTCCATGGGGCAGGGGCTTCCGGCCCCTTGGGCTGCTGGTCTCCCCTCATAGCAGGGTCCTTGCCACATTTCCACCTGTCCTGATGCCGGTGGCCCCGTCCCTCCTGCAGCTGTGGAGCAGTTACGCGTGCACGTCAGGCGGCATAAGGGGGTGAGAAAGTTCGAGTGCACGGAGTGTGGCTACAAATTCACACGGCAGGTAGGCAGGGACCCGGGTCACCCCCTCCCCTGGTCTGTCCCCACCCTGACCCGCAGTCCCCCTAGGCCCACCTGCGGAGGCACATGGAGATCCACGACCGCGTGGAGAACTACAACCCGCGCCAGCGCAAGCTCCGCAACCTGGTCATCGAGGACGAGAAGATGGTGGTGGTGGCGCTGCAGCCACCCACGGAGCTGGAGGTGGGCTCGGCCGAGGTCATCGTGGAGTCCCTGGCCCAGAGCGGCCTGGCCTCCCCGCTCCCCAGCCAGAGACCGTGCGCCGAGGAGAGCTTCGCCGGCCCGGGCGTCCTGGAGCCCTCGCTCATCATCACGGCGGCTGTGCCCGAGGACTGTGGCACGTAGCCTGCCGTCCTCTGGGCCCAGCTCCCAATAAACTTGTGGTTTTGGACTCGCCTGTTCCCGCCTGTCTGCACTGTTCCCCAGTTCCCCTGGAGTCATGGCCTGCACCTCAGTGAGGAGCTGCGGTTGCTGGCCACACAGACTGTTCAGTGGAGGTAATGGTGGAGCGGAGTCAGAATGGAGTCAATGGGGCAGTGGGTGGCCTGGATGGCCAGGTCAAGGCTGACCCCCACCCTCTTCCCCAAGGAAAGCCAGGGGTCAAGTTCAGGCAGAGCTGAGCACACCTGGGAGCCTGGCTGCCAGGTGTGTGGCTCTGAAAGCTCCCTGGCTGGTGCATGCCCACTTAGGGAGCCTTTCCCTGGGGGACCTCACGGCCACGTGTCCAGGAGGCCTGGGGGCAGGTAAGGCCAGGCCTCAGATGCACAGTGACCCTGGTGTCCCTAGGTTCTGCAGCTGAGGGTGCTGCATGTCATCGGGTGCTGGAGCAGAGGGACTGTGTTCAGGTTCTCTTTCAGCTCCTTCATAGCCCTGACACCCCGGGCAAGTCACGGCTCCATGTCCGTCCTTTAGGGGAATTAGTAGTATGCTTCACAGGCAGGATTAAATGAACGTCACTGGACAGGGAACCATGCTGCAAGGTGTGTCTGGAGCTGGGTGTAGTGACGAACGCTTGTCATCCCTGGAAGCCCTCGGAGGCTGAGGCAGAAGGATCACATGTTTGTGCCCAGCCTGGGTAACTGAAGTGACTTAGTGAGACCCTATTTTAAAAAATAAAAAGGGGTGGGGAAGGGCTGGAGATTTAGCTCAGTGTGACAACCCTAGGTTCAGGCCTAGTACTGCAAAAAAGTCCCTGGAGGCTCACGTGCATTGATGCTAGCCAGGGGCAGGAGCTGTGGCCCCTGAACTGCTATTGGGCTGCCTCAGAGCAAGGTGAGCAGGCTGTAGGAGCAAATGCACATTTAAAAACTGTCCCCCAAGGTAGACTGGAGCGGTGGCAGGGGACAGTTTTTAAATGTGTCCATAGCTTCTTTGACACTTCTCCCACTAAGTAGTTGGGGATCATGTGTCCCCTCCTCTTTAATCTGGGGAGTGGGCAGTGTCTGCCTCACCCAATAAGGTGTGGCGAAGTACATGCCACATGACTTGAGGGACTTGGTCCAAAAGTGGCCCTGCAGCTTGGGCTTTTGGGATATCTGCTCCTACAGCCTGCCCACCTTGCTCTGAGGCAGCCGGAAGTCATGGCTCCCATCCCCTCTGCAGCCAGAACCCCGCTCCTACTCTGCACTGTATCAGAGGCCTGACACAGCTTGGACACAGGCAGAGGAGGTGGCTGGTTCCCCGGAGGAGCCAGAGGTGCAGTCAGCACTGGGCCTGGCAGCCCCTGGGCCCTCTTCATTGTCTGGCTTCATCTGCTGTGATGAGAGCAGTCCCAAGCCCTTCACCCACGAAGAAGCAGGAAGATAAAGACACCAAACATACAGGAAATATTTTTATTTCAAAAAGTACTGAAGGCATCTTAAAACCTGGAGACAGATCTCTGGAGACTTAGGCCTACAGAATAGACAAAAATAAATACACATATGTGCCCACCTCTGGGGTGTGACTGGATATGGGACACTGGAGGGTGTGTCCTTCATTAGAGTCTCTGAGGTCATATAAATATAGAATACATTTAGATCAGCATTAAATACCAGTCACTTCCGTAACTTAACGTCTTATAGACGAAGCCCTGTGCATGTGATCATGTCAGAAAGTCCCATCCCCGGGTGGGCTGACATCTGTTTCCAAGTCAGTGTGGCAACATCTACGACGGTGGGGACCCCAACACCCAGAGCCTGTGGCTGCCGAATGAGGGGAACCCCTGATCCTGCACCCCCAGGAGCGTCTGCAGGCCATGGAACCTGCTCTTTCAGACCCAAAGCCTGGTCCTGATGGTGGTGACCCGCACCGCTCCAGAGCACAGAGGGACACAAACCCAGATTCTGTCTGCGCGGCCGCCAGGCACGGTGACGAGCAGGAACCCTGGGCCTCTCCCAGCCCTTTCCTGAACCAACTCAGGACAGCGGTGGCCAGTGTCCCCAAGCAGACTGGACACACTTTCTAGTACACTGCAGTGACAAAACGGCACATGGCACCACACAGAGGGAGAAGGCAGGCACGGCAGGCCCTGCCTGACGACCCGGGAGAAATTAAGGCAACACCCCTGCGACCTGGCCGCTGCGGGGTTCGGGTACTGCTTGCTAGGTGATCGCGTCTGCATGAGATCCCACTTGCAGGAGTCAGGTGACTGGGCAACCTTCCTGTCACCTGACACAGTCCTAATGCCCTCGCCTGGAAAGGAGGGGACGGGTCCAACTGGAGGCCACACTGGGCACCTTGAAGGGCTCCAACTCAATGCACAGGAACGTCTCTCCTGAGAGGTCACCAGGGGTCCCACACTGTCTCCCTGGGCACACCTGCCACCACCTGCTCCCACAGACAGTGCTGGCGAGGGCACTTGTGGGACAGCAAGGTGACCCTGGCTCTGGCTCCCTCCACACCCGCTTCCGGTGAAGAGCGAACTCGGAACCTACTGCCCGGCCGCTCCTGCTCAGGCTTCAGGGAATCTTCACACAGCCCAGGGAGGAGGGCTGGGCACAGCGGCCGTGTGCCTGGCCGGCTGTGGACGACAGTGAGCAGCCATGACCTTGCACTGGCCCTCTCCTCAGGCTCTCCTCCCCTGCCTGGGCAGAGTCCCAGGGCAGTCTCCTTGCCCAGCAAGGTCTCCCTGGCTGGGGGGGGTCAGACCCAGCATCAGTCCCAAGGCACTCGGGGACCCCTCTTCAGACTCACTCCCCACGCTCACATCCTGCTTGGACGTGGGAGCCCAGCAGGGGCAAGGAGCTGAGCTGGCCAGGCGGAGCCGCTGCACTCGGGACACCCGGCACCGTACAGCCCCTGCGGTCTGCTCAGCCAGTGCTCCCGGGCCAGCAGAAGGTAGGAGGGTCCAGGCCATTCTCCAACCCCCAAAGGGGGACCTTGTGCTCTCTGCCCTCAAGGTGGGAGCACGGAGCCATGGGAAGTGGCAGCGGGCGGGGTGTACACTGCATGAGTGAGGAGGATGACCTCTGGGGGCCAGAGACGGGGACCAGCGCGACATTCACGGCCCACCCCGGCCCCAGCAGCTGTGACTGAGGCTCTAAGTGCACAGAAAACTTTCAGGCTGTGATGGGTCCCGGGCTCTTGGGGTTCCGCCTGTGCCCGAAGGAAGGGGTCTCCGCCCCCACAGAGGTGCTGGGTTCCCTGCACGGAGGCCCTCCCCGGGCTAGGCCGGGGCTAGTGCAGTGCGTCAGGGTCCCGCGGTGGCTGGTGCCGGCCTGCGTCCTCGTCTCCGCTGCGACTGTCCAGCTCGAAGCCGCGGCCGCCCAGCGGAGTCTGTGGCATGAACTGGCGGAAGATGCTGACGCTGCTGTGCCAGAAGGTGGGCTCCGGGAGCCGCCCCACCACGCTCCACGCCCGCGCCTCGGGGTCGTAGGCCTCCACCACATCGGAGAGCTCAAACGTGTTGTCGTAGCCGCCTGACACATACAGCTTCCCGCCCAGGACAGCCAGGCTGCCGCCCACGTGCACCTGCAGGGGACGGTTGGGAGTTGGGAGCGGGGTTGGCGTGCGGGTGGCAGACATCTCCCCACCCCCGCAGGTGCCAGGGACCCAGGGAGGTGAGGAACACACTGTCCCCAACACGGCGCCAGGGCCAACCTCGGCCAACGTCTCGGGAAGCACTGTGGCGGGGACAGGCTGATGACTCACCCCTGGCTCCCAGGGGCCACGCACACGGCCCAGGTCTGCTGGACAAACCCCACCCACGCTGGCCAGGGCACCTGCCCAACAGCAAGCGCCCTGCCCGTGCCATGCTGCTGCTCAGAATCTCCACCTGGCCGCCAGGGTGGGCACAACCAAGCTCTCCATCTCACAGATGGGGAAACTGAGGCTTGACACAAAGCCTGGGCCAACTGCAACTGACCCTGCCCGGTGCCACCACAGCTTCTGCCTCACGTCAAAGTGACCCTGGCCAGGCAGCAGCAGCCCAGGCGTCCTGTTCTGAGCCCCCGGCAGGTGCCTGATAAATGTACTCCCACGGTCAGTGAGGAATCCGCTCGGGGCGCTCCAGTCCAGCCAGCTTCTCAGAGACAGCATGCTGCAGGGAGGGCCACACACACACACACACACACACACACACACACAGGGCACGCCCTGCCCCAGGGCCTTTGTCCTGGGCTCAGAGGAAGCCACCGGGAGAAGCCGTGACCGAGCTGGGTGGCGGGCGCACACCTGCCATCCCAGTACTTGGGAGGATGAGACAGGAGGATCGCTGCGTTCGAAAGCAGCCTGGACTAGATGTGACACCCCGTCTCAAAGAACACCTGGGTCTCAGCAAGCTGCCAAGGTAAAATGAGGCGAGCATCAGCCTTGTTCAGGTAACACCTGGTGAGGACATCACCCCCCGACACCGCCCCGCGGCGGAGCCCGCAAGCTCACCTGATTCATAGACGGGATCTTGTCCCACTCGTTCTTCGTAGGGTTGTACACGTCCACCTCGGCGGAGTCGTCCCTGTGCAGGGGAGGAGGCCGGTGGTCAGGGCTGGGGCAGCCCGGGGTGAAGGGCGGGCGAGGAGGAGCCTGAGCGACCTGAGTTTCCCGATGCCCCGTGGCTGCTCCCTTGCTAGGCAGACGCTGTGCCCCCACCCCATGTTGAGACAGGGTCTCACTATGTAGTCTCCGCTGGCCTCAAACTTGCAGTGGTCCTCCTGCCTCAGCCTCCAACATGCAGGGATAGCAGAGCTGCGCCGCCGCACCGGGTTTGGTCACTCCCTTCTTGCTGCTTCCTTTAGATGCTGAGGGTATCGTGTGGGTCCCGCCCCAGGCTTCCAAGCCACGCCCACCCTTCCCCTCCCTACCTCCACCTGAGCCATCTTTTCCGGAAGGCCTCTGTGGGCGGCCAGGCCAGGCCTCCTGCCCCTTCCCCAGGTCTTGGGCCACCCCCTGCCACTGTCTTCAGTGTCACTGTGAGTCCCCAGCCTCATCCAGGTCACTTTCGCACTCTTTAGCGCTCTGCAAGGTAGTTAGGTGGGTGTGATGGCATATATCTGAGAAGGGAGGATGGTTAAGATGGAGCCCAGCCCCGGCAACTTAGTGACCTAGGGAGACCTTGTTTCCAAATAAGAAACAGGGCTGGGCACAGTGGCACACGCCTACAACTGCAGCACTTGGGAGGCTGAGGCAGGAGGATTGCTGTGAGTTTGAGGTCAGCCTGGGTACACGGTGGGTTCAGGCCAGCCTGCACTACATAGTGAGACCCTGTCTCAAAGTAAATAAATAAATAAATAAATAAGAAAAATTTAAAAAAAGAAAAAGGAAAAATAAAGCCAGCTGGGCGTGATGGCACAACTGTAATGCTAGTACTTGGGAGGCTGAGGCAGGAGGATTGCTGTGAGTTTGAGGTCAGCCTGGGTACACGGTGGGTTCAGGCCAGCCTGCACTACATAGTGAGACCCTGTCTCAAAGTAAATAAATAAATAAATAAATAAGAAAAATTTAAAAAAAGAAAAAGGAAAAATAAAGCCAGCTGGGCGTGATGGCACAACTGTAATGCTAGTACTTGGGAGGCTGAGGCAGGAGGATCCCCTAAAATTCAAGGCCAGCATGGGTCACACAGTGAGTTAAAAATCAGCCTAAACTATATATTGTGACCTGTTTCAAAAAACCCAAATAAAAACAACGCAAAAGGAGAGAGTAGCTTAGTGATATAGGACTTGCTCTGGGCTTGAACCCCAGCACCAGAAAAAAAGTTCAAACTCCTACATAAAGTATAATAGTATTCAATAATTTTTGTTTTGTTTTGCAACACTGAAGATTAAACCTGGGGTCTCACACATCTGTCTTCCAAAAACAGTAATTTGCCTGGCATGGTGGTGCATGCTTGTGATCCTAGTACCGGAGAGGCTGAGGCAGGAGGATCGCTGTGAGTTGGAGGCCAGCCTGGGCTACACAATCAAGTTCATGGCCAGCCTAAACTACATAGCAAGACCCTGTCTCCAAAAAAAAAAAAAAAACAAAAAAAAACCAGCCGAGTGTGGTAGTGTACACCTGTAATCTCAGTACTCGGGAGGCGGAGGCAGAAGGATCGTTGCAAGTGTGAGACCGGTCAGGGCTACAAAGTGAGCTCAAGGCCAGCCTGAACTGCATCATAAGGCCCTGTCTCAAAAAGACCAAAAGAAGGAAAAAAAAAGAGAAAGCCAAGAGGACCAGCAGAGAAGCAGCAGTAGCCCTGGTGACAGCAGTCCTGAAGGAGGCCTCAGCAGAAGGGCCAGACAGCACATACTTCAGGCTCTGGGGACCAGATGGTGTCTGTAGCAAGCACAACACTACCACTGTCACAAGGAATCAGCACACGGCTCCCAACTGGGACAGCCGGGGCTGGGTGTCCCAATAAAACTCCAAAGGCAGCAAGGCGAGGTAGCAGCACACACGTGTAGTCCCAGCTACTCGGTCTGGCCATGTAGCCCAGGTAGGCTCTGAACTCGTGGTGATCCTCCTGCCTCAGCCTCCGAAGCACTGGGGTTACAGGCATGTGCTGCCTCTCTTGGTTTATACTTCCTATAAATTAGTTACGAAGTATTACTCACCTTGAGCCTCCCCTCCCCTCCCACACCGCAAAACATACAACCACCAGCTCATAGCTCATCTGATGACATAGCTCACACGAGGACGGTCACGTCTATCTCTCCCCAGGAGCGTGCCAGCTGCACACAGGAAGGGCCAGTGCGGTTGGTCAGGGCGACTGCTGTCCCTGTTCAGAACCCCAGCCAGGGGAGGAGCCCAGGACAGCAGCTCCAGGGCGCGGCTGGTGCCCTGGCAGTGGGACAGGAAGCCTGTGGCTCAGGAACGGGCGAGGGGAACAGCGTAGTGGTGACAGCAATACCCTCCCCTACTCGGGACCCCTGCCTTCCTGCAGCCACCCTGTGGCCACGCTGCCCGCCGGGACAGCGCCCTGCTTCCTCGAGGGTGCTTCAGCAACTGCCATGGGACACCGCCTAGAAGGGGATGGGGCGGGTCTCAGCAAGGACCTCAGGACTGGAAGGCGCTGGCAGCTGAGAAGTTGTATTTATAGCTGTCACCACCCCTCCCCCTGCCCCTCCAAGACACCTCCAGGGGTGGGGGAGGGGTGCCGGGCTGGGGCCAGGAGGTTTCGTAATGGCCGGGACCGGCCTGGGCTCCAGGCTTCCTCAGAGCAGACCTTGGGCTCCCGGCCCATGGTGATGCCAGGCCTTCAGCTGGTTTGCCTGGCAAGCAACTCACCCCAGGAGTTTGGGGGTGGGGCAGACCAGGGCCAGTGTGGCTCAGGGTGAGGACACAGGCCCTGGAGCAGAGGACATACGGACTTGGGGGCTCCCTGCTCCCTGCTCTAGGCCCTAAGGGGACAGAAGGATTCACACCCCTCCTTCCCTCCTGCTCCTCTGGCTCCAGACGGGCTGCTGGCCAGGCAGGGGACAGCGGACGCACACGCGTGCACACACGCCCCCATGTGCAGAACACCGGGGGCCCTCAGCACCCTCGGGAAGCTCTCTAAGCATCAAGAGGGGCAGCCAGGCCAGCAGACGGGCCGGGCCCGGAGCTCAGTGGTAACACGTGTGACCCTGGGTGCTCGGCCCGCCCTCCGTCACCCTTGGGACCGCCTGACTGGGGAATCCTGGAAGCCCACAGAAACTGGTCTAAGGGCTAAGTAGGTGCCCTGAGCCGGAGAGCCCCAGCCTGAGCCTCTCTTGGCTTCAGTTTCCTCATTTGTAAAATGGGGAGAACAGCGACCCCATGTACAACACAGTGGCCACACTTGTAATGCCAGCACTCGGGAGGCTGAGGCGGGAGGCTTGCTGTGAGTTTGAAGCCAGCCTGGGCTATGCAGTGAGATCCTGTCTCAAAACACAAACAAAAAACCCAAAATACCAAAGACAGTGCTCCAGGCAGGCCCCAGGGACTCACCTGACGAAGTACATGAGTCCATTCAGCGTCACTGTCTTGGGCGCAAAGGACCAGGGCGGGAGTTGGCCACAGTCCACCAGCGACCACAGGTCGGTGTCCGGGTCGTAGCACTGCATCACCATGGTCTCCTTGCCGGGCAGGGACCCGATGGCGTAGAGGCGCCCGCGGCACGCGGTGGTGGAACAGTTGTCCATGGGGTAGGTCATGGGCCGCAGCGCCTCCCAGGAGTCGGCGGTGTGGTCGTAGCGCTCTGTGCTGTCCGCAGCCACCACGTAGAGCAGCCCGTCCAGCACGGAGGAGCTGTGGTACTCACGCGCCTTCAGCATGGGCGCCACCTCCGTCCACTCGTTCACGCTGGAGTTGTACCTCCACACGCAGTCGTAGAGCCGGGAGCCGTCAGACCCGCCTGCCGGGACGTGCCGGGGGCAGCGGTCAGCCCTCCGCGAGTCACCCGCCTGTGCCACCCCGAGCGTCCGCCACTCCCCCAGGAAGAACGAACGTCACCGGACCTCCCCTCCCAAAACCCAGGCTGCAAGTCCCACGAGGACACATGCGGGTGACACAGTCCCACCAAAACGGGCTGGGGTGGAGTGGGGGGCACTTCTAAATGACCGGACAGGCTGTCTGCCCTTGAGGTCTTGGGCAGCCACAATGCATGGGGCTTGTCCACCAAACACTAGGATTCCTGTCCCCGGTCACCACGGCTGTGGGGGCAGGAGGAAGACGTCCACTCTCCGAGCCGGAGATGGGACACTCACTAGCAGGGCACTTCAGGGCTCCAGTCTCGATTCAGAGCAGCTGACAGGGGCGTGTTTTACTTAAAACAACTCACCAAGCTGTACCAGTCTATGCTATGAAACTAGTCCATTTCAAAATTCTTATCATTTTAAGACAGGGCTTCTTTTTTTTTTTTCCTGAGTATTTCAGATTTTGGTTTTTTTGTTTGTTTTTTGGCTTTTTGTTTTCTGAGACAGGTCTAGCTGCGTAGCCCAGGCAAGAGTACTGAACTCACGGCAGTACTGCCTCAGTCTCCTGAGTGCTGGGATTACAGGCGTAACATATGGGGACTGGGGATTTAGCTCAGCAGTGCAGCGCCTGCCTGGCAAGCTCGAGGTCGTGAGTTCAATTCCCAGTACCGGAAAAAACAGAACAAAACAAAACAAACAAACAAACTAAAGACTACAGGCGTAAGATAGAGTCTTGTTAAATTAAATAACCAAGTTGCCTAGGCTAGGCTCTGATTTTCTACCCTCCTGTCTCAGCCACCCAGAGTACTGGGGTTATAGGTATGTACCACCATACCCATCCGTGATCCTAAATTAAACCAGTCTATTAAAGGACCGCCACAGCAACACAGGACTCCAAGAATCCCATGGGCTGCATCCCCGGGCCTCCAATGCTGGCGCCACCGGGCAGAGCAGAGACATTCTGTCTGCCTCCCAGCCCTGAGCTTTTGGAGGCGGAAGACAAAAGGTCCCGGTAACACCCATAACTCTGGGCCTCCTTCCTTCCCCACGGAGCTGCGAAGGCAGCTGAAGCCGGCTTCTCCGCCCCAGGAAATTCCCCACCAGCAGCTGAGTGGAATGTTCGAGCCACCTGCCTAAACCCGAAGGATTAGCTGCGCAGCTGTGACATTTGCGGAAGGGTGTACAGAAGCCAGGCAGGTCCAGCCAGTTCTGGGGAGTCCTCTGCCCTGAATAACCGACCAGCCGGCCGCCAGACTCCGGAGGGGATGGGTGTGGTGGGGCGGCGGGCAGGAGGACACCGTCGCCAAACACAGGCCCATCCTGTTTGTCACAAGGGACAGACGGGCAGATTCCAGCAGAGCGCTGGACACAGGGCTGCCGGCCAAAGACTCAGCGGCCAATGAGCCGAGGAAGTCCCTGGGATGTGTCCCTCTGGTCAACTCCGGAGCTGCACCAGAACACTGACCTAGGTCTCCTGAATGCCCCAGGCCCGGGCACAACCACCGCCCGATATCCCTGCCAGAGCCTACCCTGCTGATAACAGCCGCTGGCTGGCTGTTCTTGCCTTATATAGCAGTCCAGAGACCGCCCCTGCTCGCCCCACAGGAGGTGGCCTCCCTCCTGTCTGGACAGGATTCACTCTCAGTAAAAAATGTGAGAGAAGCCCAGGACCCAGCTGGTCTGGGACCCGCCCACCATGACTAGGCACTGTTTTGAGGCTTGGGCCAGGCAACTGGAAGAAAACCTCTAACCACGTGACCATGTTTACAGTCGTGGGCGAGCTCAGCCTAAACACCATGTGACAGAGTGCGGGCAAGTTAGGTGTAAGCCCCAAGGGACCTTGTGGTGTGTGACAAAGCCAGCTGGAGTCAGGAGGCTCCCCGGCTCAGCAGGGAGGGGGAAATCCTCAGACTGGGGAGGAATGATGCCTGGATGCCTCACCAGGCGTCAGCCCCAGGCCTGTCCCCGCATTCCGCAGGGAGAGAAAGAAAGCCCTCATTGTGCGGGTGAATGTCCCGTCTTTTCCAAGTGAACCGGGGCAGGCATTTCCCTGGCAGGGAGGTGGCCCAGCCAGGGCACGGGGAGCCACAAGCAGCTGCTTGTCTGCTCGCACAAGGGGCTCTTCTTCCAGGCTAGAGGCCCCCGAGAACCCTGGCTCGTCCTCGGGGCGGCCCCGATTCCAGTTCTGCGAGTTTCCTCTCCTGCGAAGGCGGAGGGCTTCCCGGGAGCGCCTCAGCCGGCGCACTCACCTGTCACATAGATGTCGTTGCCCAGCGCCACGATGCTATACCCCCCGCCCAGGTGGTCGGGGAACTCGGCCAGGTAGCGCCACTGGCCCGTCTGCGGGTTGTAGCAGTCGACGGTGACCAGCTCGTCGCAGTCCTGGTCGCAGCCGCCCACCAGCACCAGGATCTCGGCGAGGCCGGTGGAGGGGCGCGGACGCATGCGGGGGCACGGCCCGCGGTCGTGGCGGTCGTAGCGCGCCGCCTGGAAGTCGCGCGCCTCGCGCAGCAG